ATTTGTTCTACATTTTTTCTCCAGCTCTGTCCAGGACCTTCTCTTGTGATCCTTGTCAGAGCAGTCAGTGGTGGTAGCCAGACACCATCTAGCTGTACTAGACTCAGTCTGGTGGAGGCCTTGGTAGCTGTGGTCCATTAGTCCTATGGACTAATCTTTCCCCTGTGTCTTGTTTTCTTCATTCTCCCTTGCTCCCGAAGGGGTGAGTCCAGTGGAGTATCTTAGATGGCTGCTCACAGGCTTTTAAGACCCCAGACGCTACTCACCAAGGTAGAATGTAGAACATTTTCTTTATAAACTGTGTTATGCCAATTGAGCTAGATGTTCCCTGAGACCATGGTCCCCACAGCCCTCTTCCCAGCAATTCAGTCCCTCAGTAGTCTGGATGTGTCTATGGGGAAGCTAGATTTGAGCTGAGCTTACAAAGATGAGAGGAAGAAGATATTCTAGAAAAGTGATGAGTATTAGTAATAGGCTGGTGTAGGAATAAGCATGAATTCTTTAAGGGATGGGAGAAAACCAATTTGCTTAGGAAATAGGCTGGACACTATTGCAGAATCGTTAGGAGTGTGAGTTTTGGAGTTAGAAAGATCTAGATTAGTACTGATCTTTCACGTCCTAGCTGCGGGGCATTGGGCAACTTCATTAAACTTTCAACATCAATTTCTTTATCTGTAAAATAGGGGTGATACCTTACTCAGAGTGTTGTTATGAGGTTTGAGTAATGGATGTAAAATGCTTTCCTGTGGTCAGTGCCCTAAAGCCAAATATTGTGTCTTATGTATCTTTATATCCTTAGAACAGAGTGTAGTACATACCTTTAACAACAGTTTAGATGAATGGGTGAGCTCACTAAGTCATAGTGTAGAGCGGAAGTGTTATTGTCACATGTTGGGGAGTTGAGGCCAGATTGATGGGAACCTTGAAAGACAGGCAGGGAGATTTTGACTTAATGAGTTACATAAAAGAGAATCTTTATCAGTTTCTGACCAGAGAATGGTTTCCCAAGTTACTGTCTGATTCTTCCTATCCACCATGTTTCCTCTGTGAGAAATCTTAGGGATTAGACATTTTTGCTTCACAAACAGGAATCTTCAACCCCCTGTGGCTGAACTCAAGCCTTTCTTCTTGAGCCCGTCTCCTGGGGGAGTCCTCATTGCCAGTTCACGACAGATGTGCACAGAGTTCTCCTTGTAACCCCCAGCTCAGTCTTTTCTCTCTGGAAATGTCATCATGACCACAAGTCCTGTTTAGCTAATTTGTACTATGGTTGCATCTTTGCATTAATTTTAGCCTCGGTAAATCTTCAAAGACGTTTCTATGATATTTCTAACATAAATTCCATTTCTCCTTAACAAAATTATAAGCATACTCTAGCAGTAAATCAAGAGTTTTCAAATGGAGGTTAACATTATTTCTAGTTAATTAAAACTCAGACTTGGATTACCCGTTGCTGTCAAGTCAATTCCAACTCATACAGATCCTATAGGACAGAGTAGAATCTGACCCATAGGGTTTCCAAGGCTATAAATCTTTATGGAAGTAGATCACCACATCTTTGTCCCACAGAAAGGCTGATTGGTTTCAACCACAGACATTTTGGTTAGCAGCCGAGGGCTTAACCACTGTGTCACCAGGGCTTCTTCAGATTTGGATTAGTACTCACATACTGGTGATTCCATTCATTCATTTAGTATTTATTAAATTCATACTATGTGCCAATTGAAGCAGGACTGGGCAGTGTTTCCTTCTGTTGTACATAGGGTAGCTATGAGTCAGAAGCAACTTGACGGCACCGAACAGTAACAACACATGCCACACATCCTTTAGTATTCTGAGGTTCTTAAACTTGGATGAGAAACAAGCTACCTCTTTATTCTTACTAACCTCTAATGGAAGGCTAGCATATCTTTCCATTATGAATGTTGGTGAAGAACACAGTAGAATTAGCAGTACCTGTGACTTTATTGGAATCCTAGTGGCACCGTGGTTAAGAGCTCAGGTTGCTAACCAAAAGGTCAGCAGTTTGAATCCACCAGCCACTCCTTGGAAACCCTATGGGGCAATTCTACTCTGTCCTATAAGGTCACTAGGAGTCAGAGATGACTCAATGACAAAGGGTTTGGTTTTTTTTTTTTTTGGTGACTTTATTACATAGATTTTCTTCATATCATTTACCATAGATCTTTTTATATCACATTACAATTGTTTCAGATACCTCAGAATATGGTTTATGATCTTCACTACCTTGAAATTATGAGTGATTGCAACTTCTACTTGATCTTAAGTATTCCCTCCCCTTCTCCCCCCACAAAAAGCAGTACAATGTATTCATAGAGAAGCACTTATGTTACTGTATCACAGTTTAAAAAATATTTGGATGACTGTATATTAATATAATTGGCTTTTTAAAAAATAATTTTATGCATTTAAAAATTTTATTCTGAGAAGGGTCCATAGGATTTGCTGGATTCTCAGAAGGTGTATTGCACAAAAAGATTCAGGAACATAGTTCTAGAATCTGAAGACAAAGTAGTGAACAAGACAGATAAGGTCCCTGTTCCCATGGAACTTATACTGGGGTTTGAGGAAAGAAGGATATGACAAGCAATAAACAAGCAAAGAAATAATCAGCACAATTTCAGATATTCATAAGGACTGCAAAGAAAATATTACAGGAATGTGATTAAGAATGACCAAGGAGGGAGAAGAAGATGACCACAAGGAGTCAGTCATGGAAAATCTGGGGATAGAGTCCCCCAGGCAAATGGGTCAGCCAGTATAATACTCAGGTGGCTAAGCTTGGTGCGGTCAGGAAATAACCAGAAGGCCAATATGTCTAGATATGGGGTGGGGGGGCTCATGGTAAGTGATGAGGTAGGCGAAATAAGACAGATCAGATCATATAGAGCATGTAGGCCTGGGTAATACGATTCAGTTTCATTCTAATTACATTACCCATTGGAGGTTTTTGAGAAGGACCGTAACAAGATGCACTTTACTTTTAAAGAATATGACTCTGTTTGCTATACAGAAAAACTTTTGCTAGGCAAGAATAGCTGCACCAACAAGAGACCAGTTAGGAAAGATTGCAGGTGAGAGATGATAGTGGATGACTTATGGTGTTAGCAGACGATGGATTTGAAATATATTTTGGCAGCAAATCAGATAAGATTTGAAGATGGATTGGAACATATATGGAGGAGGATTTGAGTTCTGTTTTGGACATGTTAAGTCTGAGTTGCCTATTAGACATCAAAGTGGAGATGTCAAATAGACAGTTGAGTGTACAAGTCCAGAGCTCAGGAAAGAGGCCAGTATATATATATTGGTGCGTGGTATTTAAAGCCACAGGGCTGTATGAGATGATTTAGGGAGATAATATAGAAAAGGGAAAGCCCAGGAATAAACCCAGAAGCACTCTCACCTTTTAGTGGTAAAACTGAGAACTCCATAAATGCTCTTAAAAAAAAAAAAAAAAAAAGACCAGGTGCTGTGGAGTCAAGTCGATGATGACCCTATGTGTGTCAGAGTAGAGCTGTCCTCCATAGAGTTTTCAATGGCTGATTTTTCAGAAGTAGTTTGCCAGGCCTTTCTTCTGATGCATCTCTGGGTAGCAGATGAACATGTTAACATTTTGTACCACTGAGGAACTCCTATGAATACTCTAACCTGTCCTACTAGGACTGAGCACTGCAGGAACTTGGATTTGGGTACAGACAAAGAAGCTAAACTACTAATTTAAATTACCTTCAGAACTCTAATTTTACTCAGGTAGCACCAATCCTGGCCATGGAAGAGGAACAATACTACCTGCTAACTTACGTGTACTGTATTTTTGTAGCATGCTTACAAAAATACCTAGGTGGGGCATGGTTGGCAAAAAAATGTAGAAGGTCCACGTTATTTGTGTAAAAATATGTTACCTCCAGAACATGTAAGTGGGGCTAAAGTTGCAAGAAGCATGACAGGATTAAGGAGAAATTCTTAATATTTTGAAAGAATTGAACACTTCCTATACATTATCATAGAAATGTAATTAACATATGTATGTATTTAACTAACTTACTTAAACTGGGCCATTGTCATAAAAGGAAAGAGGGAGGCAAATATTTTATTAGAGAAAATCTTTGAGTATATTTATCTTCCATAAATTAATGATGCTGAATACATGTTGTAATTTTCTGCTGTAAGATTATAATATTATGCACAAATTATATTCTTAATAACTACTTGGTTGATTGATCATACAATGTTAAGAAATGATCCAAAAACACGTTTGAAAAATTACCTGATTTTTTTTTTGGTTTAAGTAAAAAATAATATCCAAATGTTTTTGCTTTGAATGGTCTTTAAGTATCTAATAGTTATCAACTCTGTATGAAGTTAAAAAAAAAAAAGTGAAAAACATGGGTATAATACAACTTGAGAAAGATAAGCTATTCTCTGGTTTTCACTTCGTCACCAGAGCCTGAGCTCTTTTTCTTATCCAGGATTCTAATTAATGAAATATAGAAATGTTGAACGTCGTTTGACTTGTACTATGATGTTTTTAGTAGTCTCTATGGTTTTCTAGAGGAGCCCTGGTGGCGCAGTGGCTAAAGCACTCGGCTGCTAACCAGAAGTTCAGTGGTTCCAATTCACCAGCTGCTCCGTGTAAGAAGCACGTGGCAGTCTGCTTCCTTAAAGATGTACAGCCTTGGGAACCCTATGGGGCAGTTCTGCTCTATCCTACAGGGTCGCTATGAGTTGGAATCGACTGGATGGAATGGGTTTCATTTGGTTTATTGTTTGCTAATTATTTGGACATCTCTCACCCCTTTGTTCTGGGAAAGTATTCTGGTGTTTGTGTGTGTTCCTTTTTGCCATACTCGCATATTGGGAAATGGAAATAGGGAAGCAGTAGCTTCTTAGAAAAACCATAGATGAATTAGCAAAATGTAATAGGAACTGTTGATCTTGTACATTATTGCTTTTGCTTGTTTTTTGTCCTTTGCTAGGAGGCCTGTTATGATGATGTGTATAGTACTCACCACACTTCCCAGCTTCAGCTTTTCTATAGCAGTGACTGAGGTATGGAATTTTGACTTCTTCTGCTACTGGATTTTGAGATTTTAAAACTTCCCATTATTGGAATTTGATACAGCGATGTGCCCAACAAATTTCTTAAAGTTCATTTTATCCAGTCTTATTCCAAATTTTAATATATATATATTTTTTAAAGTATTAAGATCATTGTTACCTCTGTAATTACAGAGGAAAGTTTTGCAGTTAATTTTTTCAAAAATTCCTTTTGTGTCTGTGTGTGTGAGACAGGAATGTTCTTTTAAGATGATTTTTTAAAAAAGCAGAGTAAGGAATTTAAGAGTAGATACACATTTGTATCTTCTACCAACCTTCTATTTTTCATGATTGTCCTCAGTTCTAAATGGAAAATAACGAGGTTCCAGGAAACAACCACTCACACACTAAGACGTTTGATATTCTATCTATTGACGAATAATTTGCACATGATATTTATTTGAAAATAACTTCGAGTTTATGTTTCGACTGAATATGGCTTTAAAAGAACTCTGAATGTTGGATGTTTACAGGGCAGGGATGTTATAGGTGGAACTTTCTTGCTGCGAGAACTTCATTAGCCGAGAGGGTCAAAGAAGAATGTCCCACTAAGCTTAATAATTTCCAAGGTGCTGTGTCAGATAGACTTTTCATTTCTCCAAAGTGTACATCTTCAAGTACTCTGTCATATTTCATTTATACATTGAGCAACTATTCATTCAGTGCATATTACATGCCAGGCACTGTTAGGTACTGGAGATATATAGCTCTTAGGAAATATGACTAAGTCTCTGGCCATCGATACTTTATTTACTGAATCACGGAGAAAAATAAACAGGCAATTAAAATAAGCATGATGAGTGTTGTGAGAGAAGTGTCGTTAACAGTGACATCATTGTTAGTACACAACCTAGATGCAATATTAGGACAATATGGGAATGTATAGAGCAATCTCAGAAGACCACGTAGACGGACACTGCATCAAACTACAACAGATGAGTTTTTAAACTAGATTTTTCATTCTCCCCACTCCAAAATCCTTGTAAAGTGCTTGAGAGGTACCCACGTGCTTAAAAAAAAAACAAACAAACCATTTACACTGTTTCAAGGAACACCGTTATCATAAAATCATGGCATAGCTAAACGTTTAACAGCCCTTTTTGGTTCTTTTCCATTATGTCTAACTGTTATGTACTTTCATTTCCTTTTTTCTTATTTAATATTTCAATGTAGTCTAACCACAAATGGAAAAATGCACAAAACATAAATGTACAATATCAAAGGAATATCACAAAGCAAATCTCTGTGTAAACACTACTCGGATCAAGACATAAAACATCACCAGCTCCCTAGAAGCTACTCCCATGTTCCTTGCAATGATTACCTTTTCTTTCTCCCCAGAGGTAACGTCTATCTTAACTTCTAACACCACAGATTTGTTTGCTAGTGTTTGAACGTCTTTTAAGGGCAATCAAACATTTTATATACATATACATACGTATGTTTATCACTTACATGTATAAATGTATGTATATGTCTGTGTCTGGCTTCTCTTATTCAAAAGTATGGTTGTAAGAGTCATTCCTGTTTTTGTGAATAACTGTATGTAGTGCATTCAGTTTCCTTGCTGTAGAGTGTCTCATTTTATGATTGTATCACAATTCATTCATTTTGGCTATTACAAAGAATGCTGCTCTGAACATCCTTGAACGTGTCTCCGGTGTCCACGTGCACGCGTTTCAGTTGGTTAAATATCCTTGTGTTGAACGATGGTCGTAGGATATTCAAATGTTCAATTGTAACAGATAATGCCAGTTTTCCAAAGACGTTGTAGTAATTTAGACACCCAGTAGAAGTGCATGAGAATTGCTGTTGCTCTGTGTCCTCACGAGCACTTGCATTGCCAGTTGTTTTATTTTAGCCATTCTGGTGGGTATGTTCTTGAGTGTCATTGTAGTTCTTAAGTTGCATTTCTCCAGCAATTAATGAGGTTGGGCATCTTTTCATTTGTTTTTGGTCATGTTTTATCAAATGGATGTTCAAGTCTCTTGCTCATTTTTTACTGCCTTGCTTATCTTTTTCTTATTGATTTGGAAGAATTGTTTACGTATTTAGACAAATGCTGTGTTAATTATATGTATTGCAAATATCTTCTACTGCTCTGTAACTTCCCTTTGTACTTTTTAAAAAAAAAATTTTATGTGCTTCAGATGTTAATAATATCTTTTGATGAGTAAAAATTCTTAATTTTAAAATACTCCAATTTATCAATTTCTTTCCTTAATGAATACTGCTTCTTATACCTTGTTTAAAAAATATTTTCCTACCTTGAGGTCCTGAAGCTATTCCCTTATAGTATATTTTGGGGGCCATATTGTTTTAGCATTCTCATTTAGATTCATAATTCATCTAGAATTCACTTTTGTGTATGTGGTATTTTCAATGGCCTCATATGCATGTGAAAGATGGACAATGAATAAGGAAGACTGAAGAAGAATTGATGCCTTTGAATTATGGTGTTGGCAAAGAATATTGAATATACTATGGACTGCCAGAACGAACAAATCTGTCTTGGAAGAAGTACAGCCAGAATCCTCCTTAGAAGCAAGGATGGCGAGACTTCGTCTCACATACTTAGGACATGTTTTCAGGAGGGACCAGTCCCTGGAGAAGGACATCATGCTTGGTAAAGTAGCGGGTCAGCGAAAAAGAGGAAGACCCTCAACTAGATGTATTGACACAGTGGCTGCAACAATGGGCTCAAGCATAGCAATGATTGTGAGGATGGCGCAGGACCAGGCAGTGTTTCGTTTTGTTGTACATATGATTGCTATGAATTGGAACTGACTCGATGGCACCTAACAATGACAATATGTTGTACAGCAGAGTCAAGTTGTATTTTTTTCTAAATAATATTCAAGGGGCCCAGTACCATTAATTAAAATGACTGTACTTTCCCCATTTCTTTACAGTTCTATCTTTCTTATAAGGCACCTGAGCACATACACAGTCTGCTGCTGGGCTTTCTGTTCTGTCCCATCCCATTGCCTAGTTTTCTATTCCTGTGCCAATACCACATTGTCTTAATTCTTGTAGCTTTGTAATACTCTTTAAATCCAGAAGAGTAAATCTTCTTATCTTGTACTTTTTCTTTTAGAGTATCTTGACTCTTTGTATTTCCATATAAATTTTAGAACCACTTCATCATTTTCCACAAAAAATTAGGATTTTGATTGGGGTTACACTGAATTTTTTTTAAATATTAAAATCATATTTTAAAGCCTTATTTTCTAAGTCTTTGCTGTTTGTATGTAGAAATAATTTATCAAATTTGGGGGAGGGCAGTTTCTTATGCAATCAAATAGTCTATGAATAATGATATATTTTCCCCCTAATACTAATGCCATTGATTTCTTTCTCTTGTCTTAATATACTGCCTAGGATCTCAAGTACAATGTCGAATAGAAGTGGTCACAGTGGCATCTTTGTCTTGTCCTTGATCTCAGGGAAAAATGTACAACGTTTCACCATTAGAATGATGCTTGCCATAGATTTTTTTTGTAGATACCCTAATGAGATGAAGGAAGTACCCAAAGCCTAGCTCTCCCTCGTTGGAAGACCTTAAACTCTAATTTTTGTCCCATTAGTTTTTTGAGGCTGGACTCTCAAAGCCTGTGCTCACCAAGAGGATTGGAAGGAATTACCCATTTCGTCATTATCAGGAGCCTACTATTATATTTTTACCTGCATTTCCCAAGCTCTACCTTAAACTGAAAGTTCTTTCATTAATGCGAATCCTTCATCACAGTTCCTCACATCTTTAGAAATGGTTCCAGATCCTGTGGAGTTTAGAACTGAGAAGCTGAAAATCAAGCTTCTAGTGTTTTTATTAAATGTATTTATAATCAATTTAGTGTTGTTTTCACACTATGAAAAGAGTTTTGAACAAAGAAAGCACAATAATTTAATGTTTCTGAATGGTTTTCTAAACACAGGTTCAAAAGAACATTAATGGTTCCACTGATGTATTAGCTGATACCTTACCGGACCTGCCAGTATCTCTGGTTCTGACTTCCTTAATTGTGGTTGATATTATTGAAAAACTCAGGATATATCCTCTCAAAGGGAGTCAAAAGTGTAAGTATTCTTTTAAATATAAATTCGTATATCTTTCACCTTTTTGCCACCCCTTTTTGTTTAATGATACCTTTTCTTAGGGCAAACATTACTGATAGAGGATCATTGCAAATGAAGATATCTAAATATAATTATTGAAAAAGCAATTTTGATAGCTAGTTATACTTATTTTATTTTTTACTTTTTTATTTAGTTTATTGTTGTAGTTTAAGTGAAAGTTTACATTTCAAGTTAGTTTCTTATACAAAAATTTATACATCATTGTTATGTGACTGTAGTTGCTCTCCCTATGCTGTGACAGCACACTCTTCCTTTCCACCCCTGATTTCCCATGTCCATTCAACCAGCTCCTAACCCTCTCTGCCTTCTCTTCTCACTTCGGGACAGAAGCAGCCCATTTAGTCTCATGTATCTACTTGAGCTAAGAAGCACACTCTTCACAAGTATCATTTTATGTCCTACACTCCAGTCCAGTCTTTGTCTGAAGAGTTGGCCTTGGGAATTGTTTTAGTTCCGGGTTGACAGAGAGTCCGGGGGCCATGCTTTCCAGGGTTCCTCCAGTCTCAGTCAGACCATTAAATCTGGTCTTTTTACTAGAATTTGAGTTCTGCACCCCATCTTTCTCCTGCTCCATCAGGGACTCTATGTTATGTTCCCTGTCAGGGCGGTCATTGGTGGTAGCCAGGCACCATCTAGTTCTTCTGGTCTCAGGCTGATGAAGTCTCTGTCTATGTGGCCCTTTCTGTCTCTTGGGCTAATACTTTCCTTGTGTCTTTGGTGTTCTTCATTTTCCTTTACTCCAGGTGGTTGGGCCAATTGATGCATCTTAGATGGCCACTTGCTAGCTTTTAAGGCCCCAGATGCCACTCACCAAAGTAGGATGCAGAATATTTTCTTAATAAACGTTGTTATGCCAATTGACCTAGATGTCCCCTGAAACCATGGTCCGCAGACCCTCGCCCCTGCTACTCTGTCCCTTGAAGTGTTTGACTGTATTCAGGAAACTTCTTAGCTTTGGTTTAGTCTAGTTTTGCTGACTTCCCCTGTAATGTGTGCTGTCCTTCCCTTCACCTAAGATAATTCTTGTCTGCTATCTAGTTAGTGAATAACCCTCTCTGTCCCTCTCCACCCTCGTAATCATCAAAGAATGTTTTCTTCTGTGTTTAAACCTTTTCGTGAGTTCTTATAATAGTGGTCTTATACAATATTTGCCCGTCTGTGACTGACTAAGTTCACCCCGCATAATGCCCTCCAGATTCCTCCATGTTATGTTTCATGGCTTCATCATTGTTCTTTATCGTTACATAGTATTCCATTGTGTGAATAAACCATAATTTGTTTATCCATTTGTCCATTGATGGGCACCTAGCTTGTTTCCATGTTTTTGCTCTCGTGAACAGTGCTGCAATGAACATGGGTATGCATATATCTATCCATGTGATGGCTCTTATTTCTCTGGGATGTATTCCAAGGAGTGGGATTGCTGAATCGTGTGGTGCTTCTATTTCTAGCTTTTTAAGGAAGCGCCAAATCGATTTCCAAAGTGGTTGTACCATTTTACATTCCCACCAACAGTGTGTAAGTGTTCCAATCTCTCCACAACCTCTCCAGCATTTATTATTTTGTGTATTTTGGATTAATGCTAGCCTTGTTCGGGTGAGATGGTATCTCATTGTAGTTTTGATTTGCATTTCTCTAATGGTTAATGATCGTGAGCATTTCTTCATGTGTATGTTAGCCACATGAATGTCTTCTTTGGAAAAGTGCCGGTTCATATCCTTTGCCCATTTTTTATTTGGGTTATTTGTCTTTTTGTTGATGAGGTTTTGCAGTATCTTGTAGATTTTAGAGATTAGACGCTGATCGGATTTGTCATAGCCAAAAATTTCTTCCCAGCGTGTAGGTTGTCTTTTGACTCTTTTGGGGAATTCTTTTTTTTTTTTTTTAATATTTTTTTG